CGTCCCCGTCTCTATATAAAACTACCTCCCCTAACCTAATCCTAAACCGAAACCAACCGATCCGATCCACATTTGACTCTACCAGTCATATTGGTTACAGTACAAAATGGCACTGACCGATTCCGACGAATATATGTCTTTCGACAACCTATCCGATCTAATGGACACGACCGAAGTAGCCGTACAGACCGAAACCCCGTCTACCAACTCCGTTGCCACCCAGTACGACGAGGCCGACTTTTCTGACCGACAACCCGGATCGCCATGGTGGAACCAGGACCCCTTCGAGCGAAATTGCTTCCTGCGACCGTTAGCCCCGCCAACCCGTCAACCGGACACGAAGCCCAGGACGATCCGACTCCGAAGATTACGAGCCCCTGGAAAACTCCTCATTCCCGTGGGACCCGACACTTGCTGGAGATGTGGGCAAAATGGACATCGCCGAGGAACCTGCCAGAACCGACCCCGACTCTTTTGCTCCCGATGCGGCCGAACGAATGTTCTGTCACGGGAATGTATTTGCCAGCTAGGAAGCGATACCGAATAAGCCGAAAAGGACCCGACATCCCGTGGATCGAACCGGACCTTGTAACTGGACACATTCATCTTCATGTCTAAACCGATTTCTTTTATAATTTAAATTTTTCATTTTCTCTATCCGAACCTACCTAACCCGAAACATCGGGAAAATAAATGTGAACTACGTTCCCATTTATTTTCTTCGAAGTAAAGGGGGGATGTAATGAAGTCATTTTCTACCGTAAATATTGTAATTAATTTGCCGAATTTTGTTAATTGCGCGTGACCTTGATTCCGATCGAGTCTTCCATCCGCTGTCGACCGCTCGAGTCCCTTCCACTGCCGAATTCTCCTACTTGGTTTCTAATGCCAGTGGAAGGACAAGGGCCAGTTTTTGTCCTAAAAATAGAATATAAAAATGGGAACCTCGATCGAAATAGGACAGTTCTATGCGAAGTGATTTTTCCGGAACATCCAAACCGACCCCAAGGTAGGAGAAAGACTGGTGAGTGTAGTCAACTAGATTTTGCTTTACTTTTCGATTTTGTTTAATAAGTCGGGTTCCACTTGAACCTAACTACCGTTCTATAGTCCTGCTGAGAAGCGTTCTATAGATCCGATCCTTCGGCATACTCGATTTTCATTGTTCTGCTGAGAAGCGTTCGGTGAATTCGATATCTCGAACCGTCTAGCCGCTGTATGTTACATCCCTGCTGAGAAGCGTTATTGTAACATATAGACTGGACTTTTCCGAATCTTGCCTAGTTCGATTTTCACTGTTCTGCTGAGAAGCGCTCGGTGAAATCGACAACGTATCGTCTAGCTGTTGTGCTTTACATCTCTGCTGAGAAGCGTTATTGTAAAGTACAGACTAGATTTTCCCGAATCTCTAATCCTTCGGCATACTCGATATTTATTGTCCTGCTGAGAAGCGTTCCATAAATTCGATATACTGAAGCGTCTTACCGTTGTGTTTTATTTCTCTGCTGAGAAGCGTGATAATAATACATAGACCGAAGACTACTTTTCCTAAAAACTTTCCCGACACTCATTTTCCGATTTTACTATTAATATAGAAATCGAGCAAAATCTATACGACTACGCCTGATTTATTTGTAATACGAAACGATTTTAAACAACCGTTTATATTTGAAAAATTCATTTTTCCGAAAACGTTTCGTAGAACAAATCCGATTTCCTAGTAGGTACCGCTTAGTCTGATTTTTCCGCTTTGCATTTTTTGCTTTTCTTAAATAACCGATACTTTTCCTTTCTGCTTTAACGAAGAAACTGTATATTTTTATTTTGTAATATATTTAATCGTGAAATCCTATCTGGTGTATTTTACTGCTTCAATATTACAAACTATATTTTGCATGAGTAAATAACAAAACTACTATAGTTGCTTCCGTACTCTTATCTAGAAATAATTAAAGCCTATTTCTTGATAACCGCTTAAGTATAGTCTCTAACATTTTCGACCCCTGGAAGTACTATCTCCATCTGTAGTTACCTAGGCCCTTCAACACCGAATCTGAAGGTAAGTGGAGTAAACCACCAAAAATCTGGCGCCCGAGAAACCGACCGAAGACACCGAGACGCGCCACTTGTAACCCTATTCGGGAAGCAGCGAAAAACGGTTACAGTTGTCACGTTTTTTATTGAAATGTTTGTTGCCACTACTCCACTTTTGAGTTCCGACTCCGAACGCAGTGCCAGTACTGCCACCCGCTGTAACACACGGTTCCATTTCCAACAGTTTCGTTTTAATGCTGTCACCTGTCAATTGAACGCCTGAGTGTTCTATTGCCATTATCATTGGCGAATATTTTTCAGGTAATCCCGCCAAAAGCAATGACCCAATCCAATTGTCGTCAATATGGAAACCGGTACCTTGCAACTTTTGCGCCGTTTCTATTAACTGAATCACGTAGTCCTGCATGCCGTCGCAGCTTTCCAATCTGATGGAAGTTAAAGCACGAAGCAATCCAATTCTTCTACTAACACCACGATCATCGTACAGTTTCTGGGGCATGTCCCACAATTCCTTCGTTTTCTTCGCCTCCTTGATGTGTACATAAAGCGTGCTGTCTATGGTTAAAACCAATTTTGCCAACGCCTTCGCATCCTTTCCGGCATCCACTTCTGTTCCATCTAGGCACTTTTCAAGTTCATCCAGAACAAGCATGTTTCGAACCGTAAAAGCCCAGTTATCGTAATTTTCACGACCTTTTAACTTCGGAACATTAGAAAGAAAATTAACTGCCATTATTCCGCTATTATTCTTAGCAAAAACGATTTCACGAAAAGAGCTACACGTGGAACCCAACTAAATTCGTTCTGGGCCCATAACCTGTTGGTTTTTGCAGAGTAAAAATAACAACGACTTTTCATTATGAATTGTAGAACAGAACTAAACTTTATTTTCAAAATGCCATAGAACAAGAAAACAAGATAATACATATGGCCAATAGATGGCACTTAATATCAATCTATGAGATGCAAAAAATAACACAAAGTCTGACCACATAGCATTAGACACTAAAGATAAAATAAACAAAGCGAATAAAGGAAAAATGAATATCATTTTAACATGGATTCCAAGTCACTCAGGAATAAATGGAAACCATAAGGTAGATCAATTAGCTAATGTAGGTAGAGGATTAAATATTCCTGCTAAAATCAAAATAAATTATTCCAATCTGTTACCACTACAAAAAAAGGAAATTGCCAACAATTCGAAGAATGAATGGAATCGAGTAAAGCAATCGAAATCATCATTTTATACTAGGATTGTAAACCATTTACCGAATGAATCAATATTTAAGAAATTCCCATATAAAAATAGAAGACATATTACCACAATAATCAGGATGAGAACCGGACATGCAGCAACTCCATTCCACCTTTTTGCGATAGGAGCAAAAGACGACCCTTTTTGCGAATGCGGAGAAGTTGGATCGTTAAATCATATCATCTTAGAATGTCGGATAAATCACAACGATAGATATAAATTATATGTAGATCTAGCAAAAACTACCTTCACCATTTGATATATGTGGCATATTAGCTAATCTTAATGATGTCAGATATAATATTATGTGTAAATTTTTTGATAAACTGAAAATTAATATTTAACCCCCTTCCTCTTCTATTACAGTCCTGGATCCTAGATTCCATCTCCCTTGGCAGTTCCATTTGTTGTGTGATAGCTTGGCCACTGCCCCCAAGCGAGAAAACTCTGAACCTGTGTTGTGTTGTCTACTAATTTTCTCGCCCAATAGTTTGTAAAAGTAAAAATATTTATAAATGTATATATTTGTCAGACATATAGAAATTTTGTCAAGAAGGTACATGTAGATTTGTCACTGGTGTCTTATTTTCTGTAGAAAATGTACACTAGTCACTTGAGGAACAGGTATGATTTACGGTCAAACCCAAGCTAAATTTGTTGTCTCGATAATAATTCAATAATTCATTCATTAAAGTCAATAACAAACATTTCACATGAACAGAACAGGTTTATTTTGTATCTACGAACTTCGAATATCACATTACATATATCGATAATTTTTTTAAAGAGAGGAAAAATGCTATTATGCACACCCCGGCCTGGATGTTGGGCGACGGGGTAGTGTGGGACACAGTCGACTATACCCGCTAAAAAACCTCTCTTATCTTCTTGTGTCTGTGTATAATCCTGGTAGCATCGGAATAGTCTTAGGAATCCAGAATGTGTTCGGAAAACTACGTTGTACCGGACTTCGCTTAGGTCAGGTTGCTAATGTCATCGGTGCTTCCCCAATTTTGAAAATTGTATGCAATATAATCATTATATTCACGTTATATTCTACGCAATTTATTATACTTAGTTTTGTTTGTAGTATTATTATGTATCACATCTCTCATAGGGCAGGTTGCTAATGAAATCTACAAATTGAATTAGTTCTATCCAGGTCCCCACCCAAGTCCTACGACCCCAGAGTGGCTGTATTAGAACATATTCATAGATAAATTTCATTGTTCGTGGCATTGTTGTTCAAAGTGTGCTCCTAGAGTAGTATGTTGTATCTCATTTCTTATAGGACTGTACTAGAGTGGCTGTACTAGAACTATTCCCAATAGAATTCAATTTTGTCCAAATTGCTATTTTCATTTGCTGAAAATAAATTTGTAATGCATGCTCCATTTGATCGTTTATTCTCCTGATAATTTTTTATTGCCTCCTGGATGTAAGGTGGATCAATACATTTTAATCCTCTACCTAAGCAATTTCTAATTATTTCAGGAGCAACACACTCCATATAGAATTGTTGTAATTTTGGTAGCATTATTTTATTCCAAAACTCGACATCCCTATAAATTTTTTCGACATACAATTTTATATGATCACCAACATACACAACAAAGTAGCATGTGTTTCTGTTAGTGATGTTTAATTGGCCCTGAATCTGTAAAAAAATATTTAATTACATGTGGATTTAGACAAAGTGGTAAATACTTGCTTGGTAGTAATAATTGTGATTTCTCTTGAGTTGGATTTTGTTATCTCGTTTCTCCAAACAAATTTTATTTCTTAGTAAATCAATTACTTCATCAATTGTCGAAGTGGTTACAGGCAATTTTGAAGCTGAGTACAGGCATTTGACTTCAATTATTGCATCATCTCCTATCAAACCTTCAAAGAGAAATGTATCGAATTATTAATAATATACATATAATAATATATAATATATATACATACAATAATTCATTCAATATTATTTCACATTAATATTTAAACATATTTAAAATTTAAATAGTTTACCATCAGGTGAAGCTGCAAGATAAGAATTGTGTATGTCGATCCACAATCCGGAGTCCGCTACAGGTAGATTTTGAGTTTTTTCGAAAATGCCTTTAACCACCTTCTCTCTGAGTATTCCATATTCCATAGCATCCGTCATACAGCCAGTTGGTTTTAAAACGGATCTAACGAGTACATGACATGGTGTGTGCTTTCTCCTCTTGACAACGCTCCCAAATGTTGATGCTGTCAATCTATGTTTTCTTTCGGATTCGTATACCTCGTTGCCAAATTGTCCTATAGAACTAACTTGTATACGGTCCCTATCATTTTCTGTTACCTGCGTATTAAAAAAAATTTGTCAATAATAATATTTATACCATAATTTTGATTTAATAATTTTGACTGAATAATAATGAGTTTTACTTACATGCAATCCTTTTATTATTTTTTTGACTTCTTGTTGAATCATTGAAGGGTCCTCAAATTGATCTGCTTTTGGTCCATATTCAGTGTTATTGGACATGATCTTGATTTTCTTAGTTGGTTTGGTTGCGTTGTGTAGTAAAAACAGACCTTTCTTAACAGAGGCTATATTAAACAAAATGACAATATAATGTAAACAGTAAATAGCAACGAAATAAAAAATAACGTTTCCCAGATACGGGTTAGTCACAGATAACCTACACTATTGGGATCTAAAGATAAGCGATACGCCATCTGGTGTCATTTATGAGCACTAGGCATTGTGGGCACTTTTGATATTGTTGTGCTTTGTTTGTGTGTATTTTTTCGTTTTTGTGGCTGATTTTTATTGATTTTACATAGTTTTATAGGTTTTTTTTTATTTTACTTTTTTAAATTTTAACATTATGAGTACCAGTCGAAGTTATTGTTCAGTACCACAGTGTAAATCGTGGAAAAAAAAGAACCCCAACCTAAGTTTTCATCAATTTCCAAAGATCGGACAATGTAAAGTAACGATTGAAAATAAAGTTGGGAAGTTTGAAAATGTGGACTTAAGAAAAGTGTGGGTTATGAAATTGAAGATTGGAAAACCTGAAAGACATTTTTAACATTGCATGCGGAATTACAAATTTGTCAAATCCAATAATGTCTGCACAAAGATTTTGCACGGATTAATGGTTCACTGGTTCATATTAAAATTTAGATGTAATTTTTACTTCCTTGTACTAATAGCAGGTAGGCTTCTTAAGGCCACTGTGGCGATACACCCCAAACATGTGGCGATACACCCCAAACATGTGGCGATACACCCCAAACAATAAACCTGGGTAGTTTGGAAATTCCTAACCTTCCAATTTAAAACACCAATTATATTTACGACTACGGTTCTATAATTTTACGGTTTTATGATTTCCTTATGTGTACAAATAGACACTTTGACAATTTAGAAAGTTTTGGGTTTTTCCAAGACTACCCGGGTTGTAAACAAAGGAACCCACCCCGGTCGGGGAGAAGAAGGACTACAGCCATTCGGGTACGAGCACTGGAAGAAGACAGTCCGCAACATTAATCATTCAAAATTCATTTTTTGGTGTTCACATTTTCTCGTCTGACTAATTATACGTATTAGACTTTTTTCGTTCTTTGATTTAAAATTATAGACATTAAGCCTATAAATTGGTGACCCCGACGTGATCGCGCGTTTATATTAATCTATACCTTACTGTTTGTGCAAATATGGAGAACACTTCGAACTCGGTCGGTGAACAAGACGTGCAAGTGATGGGAAGTGAAGTGAGCCAAGTACGAGTACAAGTCCCACCTTTTTGGGCGGAAAAACCAGAATTGTGGTTTTGCCAACTCGAAGGACAATTCAACTTGGCTGGCATCAAACAAGACGCTACAAAATTTTGGTACGTCATAGCAAATCTGGACCACAGACATGCACAAGAAGTCGAGGACATCTTAAAGACACCACCAACTACTGATAGATATAACAAAATCAAGTCCGAGTTAATACGCCGTTTGTCATCTTCCCAAGAAGTCAAAACCAAACAGCTGCTGGAACATGAGGACATAGGAGACCGCTCTCCATCACAGTTCCTGCGCCATTTAAGGAACCTAGCAGGGAATTCAGTCACTGATGAATTCCTGAGAACCTTATGGATAAGCCGACTCCCTGCATATATCAGGCCAATTTTAGCAACACAGGTGGGAGTGAACCTGGATAAGACAGCGGAATTAGCCGACAAGATAGCAGAAGCCAATCCGGGTAACCAAGTAGCAGCTATACAACAGAGTGCCGTAAATACAGAACTCGTTGCGTTAACAAGGCAGGTATGCGAATTAACAAAAACTGTCTCTGAACTCGCCCAACGAAACGCTCAGCGACCGAATTTTCACCGACGAAGCCGTTCCAAAAGCCAGTCTAGAAGACATCCTACTCCAAACAGAGAATATAGAGATAATTCCCACGAATTTTGCTGGTACCATTCTAACTTTGGCGAATTGGCAAGAAAATGCACTCCCCCATGTAACTTCACACCGAAACCGGAAAACAACCAGGGCAGTCGTTAATGGCGGCTTTCGACTCCTGCCCCAATTTCCGCCGCCTATTTATGACAGACCGCGACACCAAATTACAATTCCTAATAGACACTGGTGCCGATTTGTGTGTATACCCGCGCCGATTATTAACCGGTAAACGTGAAAAGACAACATATGAACTTTACGCGGCCAATAACTCGCTTATCGCAACATACGGTTTCATAAATCTAACTTTGAATTTCGGATTACGACGGGATTTTACATGGCGATTTGTAGTGGCAGACGTGCAAAAACCGATAATTGGTGTAGACTTTTTAGTGCATTATGGATTATTAGTGGACCTTGCTAACCAACGGTTAATCGACAATGTAACTCGCTTATCCAGTAACGGAAGAAGCACACCAACCGCAGTGCACAGTGTCAAAACGATCCAGGGAGCAAGTAAATACCACGCGCTGCTAGAACAGTATCAAGAGATAACGCGACCATCAGGTATGTTAAATTCTACTAAAAATAATCGTGCTACATATCATTACATCGAAACTATCCCTGGCCCGCCAACCAGTTCTAAACCACGAAGGTTAGCTACAGATAAGTTAGAAATAGCAAAAAAAGAGTTCCAAAGTATGCTCAAGTTGGGCATAATCAGGCCCTCAAAAAGTAATTGGTCTTCCCCATTACATCTAGTAACCAAAAAAGGAGACGGTTGGAGGCCGTGCGGTGACTACCGTAGATTAAACAACAGAACGATAGCGGATAGGTACCCAATTCCACACATAGAAGATTTTTCCCAAAACTTAGACGGAAAAACAATATTTTCAAAAATAGATTTGGTGCGGGCATATAATCAGATACCAATGGCACCTGAGGATGTGCCAAAAACAGCTATTACAACGCCTTTTGGACTATATGAATACATCTTCATGCCATTTGGCCTTAGGAATGCCGCTCAAACATTCCAAAGGTTTATAGACGAAGTACTGCGTGGTTTAGATTTCGCTTACGCTTACATAGATGATATTTTGGTAGCATCTACATCAGAAACCGAACATCTCAATCATCTTAAAATTATCTTCGAACGCTTGAAACACTACGGCATTGTTATAAACCCCTCAAAATGTACATTCGGTGTACAAGAAACCACGTTTCTCGGGTATTCCGTATCTAGCGAAGGTACAAAACCATTAGATGAGAGAGTAGAAGCCGTCAGGAATTACCCTCGCCCGGAAACAGCCAAAGAGTTACGCCGATTCTTAGGTATGGTAAACTTTTATAGACGTTTTACACCTAAATGTGCCCAAACTCAAGCGCCACTCCACGAACTATTAAAAGGAAAAATGAAGGGAAGAGACAAACTCAATTGGACCCCAGAATCCGAGCAAGCATTTCAACTCGTTAAGGAAAATTTAGCCCAATCAGCGTTATTAGCTCATCCAAAACGAGAAGCCGAACTCGCCTTAACAACAGATGCCTCCGATTTTACCGTAGGAGCAGTTTTACAGCAAAAAATGGGAAATGATTGGCAGCCTTTAGCTTTCTTCTCGAGAAAATTGAGCAAACCACAACAAAAGTACGGCGCGTACGATAGGGAACTTCTCGGAATCTATATGGCCATCAAGCATTTCAGGCACATGGTGGAAGGTCGAAATTTCTGCATATTTACCGACCAGAAACCTTTAACTTTCGCCTTTCAACAGAGACCGGAAAAATGTTCCCCGCGCCAGTTTCGTCACCTTGAATTCATCGGTCAGTTCAGCACAGATATTCGACACATTTCGGGTAAAAACAACGTTGTCGCAGACGCTCTCTCGCGAATCAACGAAATCACTCACGCCATAGACTTTAATGCTTTAGCCGCCTCGCAAAAAGAAGATGAAGAAATTAAAACACTACTTAGCACTAAAGGTAGTTTAGAGTTAAAACTCTTAAATATTCCAAATGTAGAAAACCCTATCTACTGCGACGTGTCTACAAATGTCAGCCGACCATTTGTGACGAAATCTTTCAGGAAAACAGCATTCGACTCGTTACATCGATTATCTCACCCAGGAATAAACGCTACTGTCAAACTCATCGCTCAACGGTTCGTCTGGCCCGGAATAAAACGTGACTGCCGCAAGTGGACACGTTGTTGTGTAGATTGTCAACGCTCCAAAGTAACTAGACATACATCAGCACTCATTGGTTCATTCGCCGTAGCATCAAAAAATTTGAGCACATACACATGGATATCGTAGGACCACTACCCATTTCTAAGGGATTTAGGTACTTATTAACATGTGTAGAGCGGTTCTCTAGGTGGCCAGAAGCCATTCCTATGGCGGATATTGAAGCAAAAACAATAGCTTCGACATTTCTAAGCGGCTGGATAGCAAGATTCGGCAACCCACTTCGCATTACAACAGATCAAGGACGACAGTTCGAATCAAATTTATTTAAAGAATTGAACAAAATGATAGGATCAACCCATTTTCGAACGACACCATACCACCCCGCTTCAAACGGTATGGTCGAACGATTTCACAGACAGTTGAAAGCATCGATAAAATGCCACGCCAATGACAAGTGGGTAGATACGTTACCAATCATCCTTTTGGGCATTCGAACTTCTTGGAAGGAGGATTTACAAACAACATCCGCGGAATTAATCTACGGAGAATCACTACGCATACCGGGAGAACTCATGGCACCGAAAAATGCGAAACAACAGAGTCCATATGATTACCTCAATACGCTGAAACAGACTTTCAGAGATATCCAACCCAGCGAAATTAAAAGACACGGTACTAGGAAAATTTTCGTTTCTAAAGACTTGTTTTCTACATCGCATGTTTTTATTCGGAAAGAAATAATGAAAGGAGCACTTCAAGCACCTTACGAAGGTCCATTTCCGGTAATTACAAGAGGAGAAAGAACATTTAAAATCAAAATTGGACACAAGGAAGCAATAATTTCAATTGATCGCCTTAAACCAGCTTATATCATGACTAATGACGAACCAACAACTAAAGATTTCCTTTCAACAACAGAAGATGAGGAGGAAGAAGATAAAGAACACCAACAAAGCCAGTCGCCTAATCAACGGACAAGATCAGGAAGAACCGTCAAAATTCC